TCCTTAGGGAAGGTGCTTAGATACTAGGGTGATTGATGATATAGAGAAATGTGTGTGTGAGTGAGTGAGTGAGAGAGAGAGAGAGAGAAGGTCATTCTGTATTTGCTCTGGAGCAGAGTGGGGTTGAGTAGAGGTGACGAAGAGTCTTTCCTTGAGCGATGGTGGGATGTGGAATTCAAGTGAGGTAAGGGAGACCTAGGAGTTAAAAATCTTTGATCATAGAGTGTCTGCCCTTCTGCGATGGTTTGTGGAGAGGGCTCAGGTAATGGAGATGGTTATTGTGACGTTGTGCAGTCTATATGGTTTTATAAAAATATAAGTGAATGTAATGTAATTGGGATATACTTCATGCAAAAGGTCTCTTGTAAGATATCATTACAAAGCTCATAATCTACTGAGTGTGCTCATCCTATTTGTAGAAATGTACCACTCTTGTATCTAAAACTAGAAATATAAAACATAACTCTGAGGGCCTATTGTAATTATGTAAAGTGTGGGCCATTAAGGATGGTTTGGAATCTTGATGACTCCCATTGTCTGCAGATGGCTGTATTTACCTTTGAGTCTTCCTGTATATGTGTGTGCTGGCAAGTGAGTAATGAAGTCTTGCAGTGACATGTGATCATGTCACCTGAACTGGAATCCATCTTTAACCTGGTGCTTTTCCAGTGAGGGGGGTGAAAACCCAGAGGGACAAAGAGTTCCCGCCTTATGCAAAAGATATATAAAGGGGTGGAAGAGAACAGAGAGGGAGAGGAGCCATCATGGAGAATCCCCTAGCTAACACCTAAGCTGGAACAAGAGCTGTACCAGGGGAAAGAATTGTGCCCAGGCCTGGAAGGTGTCCAGTCTGAGAAAAACTTACTGAAGCATCTCTGAGGGTGAGATTATCTGTATTTAGTTTGATTAGGCATAGATTTGCGCATTTTATTTTATTTTGCTTGTGACTTACTTTGTTCTGTCTGTTACTACTTTGAACCACTTAAATCCTACTGTCTGTATTTAATAAAATCACTTTTTATTTAGTAATTTACTCAGAGTATGTATTAATACCTAGGGGACCAAACAGCTGTGTATATCTCTCTATCAGTGTTATAGAGGGCGAACAATTTATGAGTTTGCCCTGCATAAGCTTTATGCAGGGTAAAACGGATTTATCTGGGTTTAGACCCCATTGGGAGTTGGGCCTCTGAGTGCTAAAGACAAGCACACTCCTGTGAGCTGTTTTTGGGTAAACTTGCAGTTTTGGGACAAGTGATTCAGACCCTTGGTCTGTGTTGGAGTCAGACAGGAGTGTCTGACTCAGCAAGACAGGGTGCTGGAGTCCTGAGCTGGCAGGGAAAACAGAAGCAGGGGTAGTCTTGGCACATCGGGTGGCAGCTCCCAAGGGGGTTTCTGTGATCCAACCCGTCACAGTTATTGCACAGCAAAGGAGCTTGAATCTTTTCAGAAATAAAAGTAATTTTGGGTCAGATTTTCAGAATCCCACATTTGGACCAGATTTTTCAAGACACCTCCCATTTAGGCACCTAAGTAAGGGCTAGATTTTCAAAAGCTCACATTGGCACATTTAGGGCCAGATTTTCAAAAGCATTCAACTCTGTAAGCACTTTTAAAAATCTGGCCATTTGTTCCAGTGCCTAAATGAGAGCCAAATTATTTTGAGAATTTGTGTGGCTGCTAAGCACTTCTGAAAATCCGGACGTTGGTTCATATTTTTGACGCTACACTTCAAAGTGAAAGTGCTATGAGATGTTCCAAGGGGCTACTGCCCTGGGAGGGACTGTTATTCTTTCCCTGGCCAAGGTGGTGAATATTTCAGATTATTTTTTCCTCCAAGTAACTATTCAGAAAGAGTTCTATGTGAAAAATCACAGGCTGTACTTACCCAAACTGCAAGGTTTTGTGTCTGAACAAAGTTCAAAGAGGGGAGAAAGCTACAAATTACACTAATCAGCTCTCAGTACCTTAGCATGTAGGATAGGATAGTGCAAAGTGCTCAGCCTGGTAATCGTTAGTGTTCTCGTTGGAGTTTGTTCAAACACTAGCTGAAATAGCTAATTTGGTTAAATATGGTGGGTCTAGTTCTAATCCCCACTCACACATCAGCAGAGAAGAGAAAGAATACCATATTCTTAGAGAGGGCTCTGATTATAGATCAACAATACCAAACCCAAGTGTTCAAATTCTGACCTTAAATCATCGAATGCCTGTGGATCAGCTATTCAAACAAACAAACAATAAACAAAAGACTGTACAGGCTAGACTCTCAGCTGGCGTAAATTGGCATAGCTCCATCGACTGCCCTGGAGCTCTGCTGATTCACAGCAGCTGACAATGTGGCCCAGAGTATATGAGGCTTTACTTCCAGGAGCTACTTGATCAGATTCACTCAGCCTGAGGGAGAAATAAAGAACATGTCCCTTGGTAGCCTTATACTATAGATATTGCCTTTTCTTTTCAGGCCCTTTCATTAGCAGCTGCCTACAGTCATCCAGGGTCCACTGGGATCCAGCAGTTCATTCTCAAACTACTCAGATCTGAGGGAGAGACTCTCCTGGGTTATAGCTTCCCTGGAGTCCGTCCTCCTGTTCCACTTTCTAGTTCTTTATTAGGGACACAAGGACATGGGCGTATAAGGACCACAACAGTTGTCCTTCTATCTTCTGCTGCACATAAGGGATGACTGTGAATCAGGCCCTGTAGTGATAAGTGCAGCTTAGAAATTTAGAGGTATCACCCTCGCTTCCCTTCCATAAGCTTTTACCATATTTAGTTACACTCATTTTATCAGTTTATTGCTTATTCTATTTTAACTTCTTTCTTAATAGAACTATGACGTATTTCACATCTGTTTCCCTAATCCTTAGTGTTTCTTTCCTGTTACTGTTTCAGATATCAATCCACCTGTTTACTTTCCACTTTAACACATCTGCTGTTCTTCTCCCTTTGTCCTGTGTTTGTCTTTTCCTTCACAGCCTGTTTCTAAAGCATGCCCTTTGGTCAAAATTGCATTGGCTATTTCCAGCACAGGTTATTAAAGATAATGTTTGTTCCATATAAATCGCTCTGACAGTTTGGATTACCTTACTGGAACATTAGCACCATAATGCCTTAATAGCATGAGCAACAGACTATGACTCAAGACTCTAGGGCTTTATTCCCAACTCTTTGTTTTAGTATTTATTTTTGTATTGTCATAATGCCTAAGAGCCCCAGTAACGGACCAGGATCCCATCATGCTAGGCACTGTACAAACACAGAACAAAAAGATGGTCCCTGCCCCAAACAGCTTACAAGCTAAATAACTCTGGTATTTGTATTGCAGTAGCACCTAGAGGTGCTACACAAACTCACAGGAAATGACAGTCTGAAGAGCTCATCATATAAACATGATGCAACAAATGAGTGTGAAAAATGGGGAGAAGTGGGGAGAGAGTATTAGAATAATGAAGATCAGATAAGACTGGTACATAGGCTGGGTATTGCATGACTTGCAGTTTCCTGATGGTTCCAAGCATTTCACTGTACGCGTGCGTGTCTGCCCTTTTTATTTTAAGTACGTAAAAACAGCTATTGCCAGCTGATGCCCAAACAAACCATGTTTGATTGGCTGATTTCTTATAGCAACAGTAGGAGTTGAAGAGAGATTTGAAGGAGGGAAGGATATATTTGAAGGTAATATGGATCCTGGATTACAGAGTTCATTCTGTATTAATAACTATAGCATATTACTACGTATAGTCACTGCGCACACACTTTCTAAATTAATAGTTTATTACAAAGTAGCAACATTTTCTTTAAATTGGTTTTATGGAGAACATCCCTACTCCTTGACAAACCAGATTAACACTCAAATTCAGAAAAGAACACTTTCACATGGTTTGATTTACAAGAGACTTTGTTCGAAAGACACTGTGCTGAAAGCATTGTGTTCACCCTTTAGAAACCATAAAGAACACACACTTAATCTCCTTGCTACAAAAATTGCCCTTTGTTACCAGTGGATTTAAGGTTAGTAACTTTTAGGCCAAGTATTAGACATGTTCTGTTATTTTACATTTGCAACACAGACTTCTAAAAATCTCTTTGACCCAATGATTACAGCCTACATAAGGGACTTGCTATTTTGGGTGTCTCAATATTTGGCTGCCCAATCTGTGACATCTTAAAGAGGCCTTGATTTTCAGAGGATGGATGCTCAAGCACTTTCTGAGGATCAGGCTCCTTTAAGATGTCTCAGGTTGGGCACCCAAAAAACTAAGGCATCTAGAAATCATGAGTCACTTTTGAAAATTTAAGCCTAAATCTCTTTTTTTCCCCTAAGCCACTGTTTTGTTTGCCTAAGGTAACTAAGTTATGCCTGGATACAGTTTTGAAGAGTACTTATAAAGAGGAATTTGGCCTGAATAAGTTGTCCCTGATTAAATATCTATCATAAATTCCAGGCAACATTAAACACAATTTATATTCATTATGTTCATTTTCATCATTTTGAGTTTGGCAAACTCTCCTGTCAGAACATAGCCATCAGAGGGAATACAACATTTCAGATGCTGAGTCAGCCAATATTTGGCTTGGAGGGGCAATTAGTCTTTGTTACCTCTCAAATCAAAATACACACAAGCAGAGCAGAGATAAATGTATGGCATCAACCCTAACTCTTACAATTTACGGTGAAGTCTTGGTCACTTTTCAGCTCTGAAGTAAAAAAACGCTAGGTTAGGCTATAGCATGTGATTCATAACATGTGAAACACTTAAAGCATCATTCCTAGGGATACAAACATTGCCTGTATTCCCCCTCAGCTCTTGACTACCAACATTATATTGAGGTAGCATACATCTCCCACAGTACAATGTTGCAGAGGTGGAAGCCAGGTTAAAGACAAGTGCAAGCCTTAGAAGAGGGAACTTTACAGTGAGGTAGAGACTACTAAACAATTTTAGTGATGCTCATGCAATCCAGTAAAGGAAGTGAGGTAGAAACACATGCAGTACCTTGTGATCTCAGAGTCAGGGAGCAGGCCTATGTGGTAGTGGGGATAGGGAGCTGTAAGAAGGAAGCTTTTGTCACACTCGACAGGGGAATAGTGCCTAGGAGAAGGTGGTTTATCACACAGTTTGTTCACAGTGCTGTAAACAGGTTCAGGAGGCCTGGTGATACAGAGACAAGAGTAAAAAATTAGATGTGTAGTAATGTGCAAGAACATACAGATTATGCAACAATCAGAATATAAAAGCATGCAACGAAAACCTATCAGATTTTCAGGAGAACTTGTGGTCAGTACAATATGCTGTTAAGTCAGAAATTAGAACTTGATTAAACAGTGTCGTTGCATACAAGACTGTTGTATAATAGGATGAAGGTAATATACTTGTGCCATAAAATTTTCTCATTGTCTGTGGCTCTGACTGAAAGGGCCATGTCCTACCTTCTCAAGCTCACTGATGTATTTTCCCAATGGATCTGATCTTTATACATATCAAAAAATAACACACACACAACTTTCTGTCACCCATCAATAAAGTGTTGCATCCATACCCACTATGGCAGAAGAAAGTGTGTGGGCCCAAGTGTATTATTCAGCAAAATATACTTATCTTCTTTTGCTTAATTTTACAGATGAAGCACAATTTTTGTGTGAAAACACCACTCCCATGGACTTCAGAAGGTGAGAGCTTCCAGATGGAACTATGGACAAGATGTGTCAACACAGGTTACCTTTGACACGTACAGACACACACATCATAATGTGCTGTTAAGCAATGTATACAGTTATTGTGAAGAGCTATGTGTACTGTATTCAGACTCAACAACAGTGCGGCGTGAACTGTCAAAACCACTGATATTCTAAATTAATGACAACATCCTTTGTAGTTAGTATGTCATTGAGAGCCTGATCCTGCAACTACGAAGTCTCAGAACAATGATGAATTTTACTATGTACATGGTCCAACCATGTAGGCACAGGGTATGAAAGTTGCCCAGAGGGGCAGCTGCCCCAGTGGAAGCATTCACACTTGAGGGAGGGCAATACTTCCACTGTAGCTTGCCAGCAAAGGACTCTCAGAAAATGCACTGATTCAGTGCGTCCACATGTGTCTTGGCTCTTCTCCCTGCTCCATTTTGTGGGCTCCACTACTCAGCTATTGGCCTGCTGACAGAATGGTGATTGCAGGAGGCTTGTATACTAAACCCAGACTTTGAGAATACAACAAACTCCTCAATGCTTTTATCCCAGGTTCTGCCAGCAGACCCACTGTATGAAACATTAATACCTAACCTATACAGAGTAAAGTATGGGAGCCCTAAAATTGAATAGTGAAACTTCTTAAAGAAACCTCGTGAAGGCATCAACAGACCCTGCAGACTCAAAAACTTGCTAATGAAGTTTTCAGTTCTTGTAACACTGTGAAGCACTTACAGCATGATTCTTTTGCCATTATTTTGCATAGGTACATGACAGCGGTGTATGCTCTGTTATAAAATCCCATTTGCTTGGGCTGTCTACATAGTAGTTATATCACACACAAGATCTTGGCAATTTACACAGAACAGAATTCCATTTTCCCCTTTGTTTTCAGGGATTTGCTATTTTCTTATTACAAATATTTGGTTTACCCAATATGAAAAATGATTTTCTAAACAAATCCACATTTGAGTTGAGTACTCTTATGCCAAGTTTAGCCCAATGAAAAATTTACAATGGCAATTTAAAATTGAAGGAGATAAAATACTTAAATAGCAAATTTGGCAGTTATGAAAACGATCAAACATTTATTCTATCCCAGTGTTTCTCAAACTTTTGTATTGGTGACCCCTTTAACACAGGAAACCTATGAGTGCGACCCCCTTTATAAATTAAAAACACTTTTTTTGTATTTAACACTATTATAAATGCTGGAGGCAAAGCGGGGTTTGGGGGTGGAGGCTGACAGCTCACGACCCCCCATGTAATAATCTTGTGACGATCCCCAGTTTGAGAACCCCCGTTCTATCCCTTTAGAAATGTTCTTAAGGAAACACAGGGTTTTTATGCTCTATATGTTTCACAAAAAGTTTTGTGGATGGATATTTTAATTCACCTACTAAATTAATTACTGTCTGAAATAGTAATAAGAGATACCACATCTGATATTATGGTGTCATTTTAGATCATACTGCCTTTCATTCCTTCAAAATTGCTTTTTTTTCAGGGCAATGTATTCTAAAAAAAGCACAAATATCCAATTCATACAGTGTGTAATATTGATTTTTAAGTGACTTAAAATACCAACATAGCCATGATCAAGTCGGTGACTGAATAAAACAACTGAGAACTTGCAAATTTTCATCTTCACTTCAAGTAATAGATGAAGTAGGAGTGCTACTGTTTCTGGACACCTGCCTGGAATATATATGTATAGTATTAATGATTTTTATTTCCAGAAATAACTTTATGCCTGACCTTCCAGCCAGAGATAAGTTTAAATGTAACATGCAAAAGAAACAAACATACACAAGGCTTGTGAATACATTGTAAATATTCTAATTACACTGAAATCATAAAAGTAGGTGACCATCACTTCTTTCTTTGGGTCAAACATCATGCCATGCAGAGAAGGAGAGGTGTGGTGAATGCTATGTTATTCGATAGTAGGAAACCATTACAGTAAAGCACAGTGAAGATAAACGTTCAGTGAAAGACCATCTACATAAACATTTAAATTACTCTCATCACCAGATATCTGAATGCACACAGTCACTCCCATACAGCCCTATAGAAATGAGTCACATCTGGTAAACCAAGCAATTTAAATGTTAGTATTCTTCACTCTGACAAACTGTCCTAAGTCCCACTGGAGTGGCAGCATAGCAGAAAACTGGAATTTGCTTTAATGAACCTTTTCAAATAAATGTAACACTATTAAAAGTGCTCAGTTCACAGCACTGGAATATTAAGTCCTTTATTTATTTACAGGTTTAACACAGACAGTGACACTGAGTAGGCCCACAATATTCCACCAATAATCCTGACTTGTAGACACAACTTTTAGGGGCAGAAGGGGAGTCCCGTTTCCTTGCCCTTCAATTCTTGTCCACCCTACCGAGAGCATAAATCAGGACATCAGTTAATTCATTGTGGTCAATATACGGGTAACTGCAAGAAATGTAATGGCCTGTGTTGCACAGGAGATCATACTAGATGATCTGCTGGTCCTTTCTGGCTTTCAACTATGTATCTATAAACTCCCATTGTTTAGTCATGCTTTTCTTTAAAATAATCCAGTTCTTACCAACAATTTTAAAGACTACAAAAATTTTCTAGGTACCTGTTCATAAATATTTCTGTAAAATACATAATCTTTAAATATAAGATTTTCTTTCAGTCCTGAAAACCTCTTCAATAATACAGCATTTATGCTTATATGAAATATACCATTTACATTAAAATTACGGAACATGTTACTGTAATTGAAATAGCTATGCACAATTGTTATTGGTAATTTAGCACAATGGCAGACGTAATTAAACTAACAGAGGGTCCTGTGGCACCTTTAAGACTAACAGAAGTATTGGGAGCATAAGCTTTCATGGGTAAGAACCTCACTTCTTCAGATGCAATAATTAAACTAATTCGCTTTCTTGAAATATTCAGACCAACTCTAAATCTTGATGTTATATAACACTATTTAAGAATTAAAACGTAGCTGCTTTGGTATTGTTACTATTTTTACTGAATTTAATGTTGTGCTCACAAGAGCCCTTTAAACAGAAGATGATAAATATTTTGGAGTGTGGTAGCTCAGAAAACTGTCTGGAGGAAGTTTAAGTAGTGCAACAAGAACACCTCACACATACTCACCTCTCCCCTGCTCCCCCCCCCCCCCCCCGTAAAATCTTCTGAAGGATATCAAGATGCAAATGTCTCGTAACAAGAGCAAATGCATTGGGCTATCATATCAACTAAGGCAGGACACTATTTACAGCATCTCAACCCCTTTGTGAATGTTTTATGTATCCCTTTGAGCTGCCATGGTCCCCATACCAATCCATTTGTTACTCCACTAGCAATGCCTCCACACTCTGAGCAACAGCCATTATTGAGAATTATAGCATCAGAAGGAAAATATAACCTTTAATGTAGCTCTACTCTGGAAAATGACTATGCAAAACTGGCACCTTCTTGTTCAACATATTGGCTCCCTTTGAGTTTTCAAAGTAGTATCTGTTTACTATAGTGACAAACATTCTTTATATTTTTACTTTTACTCCACTCAGCAGATTTGAGGAGCCAACTAAGCTGACAAGGGGGTATAGTGGTAGGATTCTTCATTCTTGTGCATGAACAACAGAATTGTTTATCAAACTGAACCAACTACACCTGCACAAATTCACCCAAAACAATCTGCCTGCACAGGTGTCACTGAAGGCATAATTTGGAATGAGACCTTTACTATGTGTGAGATAAAAAGAACTCATTTTAGCTCTTAAAGCATGTTGAGTTTGCAAGCTTGCAGACAGGCAATACCACATTCAGTCTGCCAGAAAATAAATATGCCACCCTACAATGCTATTTTCAGTCATTTTTCTGAATAGAAATGTACTTTGATTATGATGGAGTCTCCTGTCCATGTCGACATACAAAGATTCAGCAAACACTATAGGTGAACATATATACGCAAGAACGGCAAACACTGATACATGTCGGACAGACAAGATTACCCATGAGCATCGCAGGCTGCTGTATCCTTGATTTTGTCATGTTCACATATTTCACATAAGGTGTTAATGCCTTGCATCAAAGTGGTTATTGATGACATGACAAATCTGCCATCATCTTGATCTGTCATGGGCTGTTGCTTCCCAGTTGCTGGGGTCAACTGGACATGCTTTCACATTTGACTTCAGTGTGTCTTTATATCATTTGTACTGGCCACGATGAAAAAAGGAGCTTTACTTTAGCTGACCATAAAATATGGCCTTGGGTATTCTCGAGTAGGCCATGCTAATGAGATGCTCAGATTAATGCAGCTAAGTTTTTATGAGCATGCTTTGAATGCCAGACATCGACGATGATTAAGAATTCTGATACTGGGAATCTTGTCCCACCAATTGACACTGCAAACAGACCAGAGACAGCACATACGGACCCGATCAATATGGTGGCAAC